GGAGCCCCTCTGCTCTGGAGCCAGGCTGGGACAGCTGGGGGGGTTCCCCTGGAGAAGAGAAGGCTCCAGGGAGAGCTGAGAGCCCCTTGCAGGGCCTAAAGGGGCTCCAGGAGAGCTGGAGAGGGACTGGGGACAAGGCATGGAGGGACAGGACACAGGGAATGGCTTCCCACTGCCAGAGGGCAGGGATAGATGGGATATTGGGAAGGACTTGTTGGCTGTGAGGGTGGGCAGGACCTGGCCCAGGTTGCCCAGAGAAGCTGTGGCCGCCCCTGGATCCCTGGAAGTGTCCAAGGCCAGGTTGGACGGGGCTTGGAGCAACCTGGGCTGGTGGAAGGTGTCCCTGCCCGTGGCAGGGGGTGGCACTGGCTGAGCTTTGAGGTCTGTGCGGTGCCAGGCGGTGGCAGCAGAGCTCCGTTCACAGTCTGCGCTCGAAGCTGCTCCTGTTGGAGCCGAGCGGGGCCGGGGCTGCCCGGGGGTGCAGCGGGGGCTGTGCAGGGTCCGGCTCTCCTGGAACCACCTCCCAGCTGAGCCTTGATGGGTCTTCATGGAATCACAGAATCGTTCAGGTTGGAAAAGATCCTTCAGATGCCGGAGTCCAACCATCCCCCAGCACTGTCAAGGCCACCACTGACCCCTGTCCCCAAGTGCCACATCCACATGGATTTTTAAATCCCCCCAGGGATGGGGACTCCACCCCTGCCCTGGGCAGCTGTGCCAGGGATGGGCAACCCTTTCCATGAAGGAATTATCTCTGATATCCAATTTAAACCTCCCCTGGCTCAGCTCAAAGCTGTTTCCTCTCATCCCATCCCTTGTTCCCTGGGAGCAGAGCCCGTTCCCCCCCGGCTCCCCCCTCCTGTCAGGGAGCTGCAGAGCCAGAAGGTCCCCCCTGAGCCTCCTTTTCTCCAGGCTGAGCCCCCCCAGCTCCCTCAGCCGCTCCTGCTGCTCCAGCCCCTTCCCAGCTCCATTCCCTTCCCTGCACACGCTCCAGCCCCCTCTGGCACAGCCCACCCCCGTGGATGGCACCACGGGAGCAGTGCCATGGTGCCAGCTCAGGGGAGCACTGCCAGCACAGGGGGTGACTCTGGGGCAGCAGCAAGGTGGGGTTGGGCAGGGGAATTCACTTTTGAGTGAGCTTGGGGAATCATTCACCATCCCTTCCCCAAGGATTCCCCTCCTGGTCCCAAGCTGGGTGATGCTGGTGGGCTGTTTAGCTGTGCCCCCTGCTGGGACCCTGTAGGTGGACCCCAGTCCTGCCAGATCCCCCTGATTTGGGGATCCCAGACCCCTCTCTGCCTGTCTCCTGTCCCCTCTGGAGGGGCTTCTCCAGCAGAGCTGAACTCCAGGGGGTGGGAGGCTGGAGAGAGAGCCCAGGGGGGTTTCCAGCTGGAAACCTCTACAGGTTCAGAGCAGCCCTTGGGGACAGCAGGGGACAGGGCTGGTGGGAAGGAAGGTGATGTGGTGCCAGTGAGGGATCTCACTCTGGGGGACCAGCAGGGTCCCCACCTCACCCCTGCTTGGCACAGCATGTCCCAGAGAGGGGTCCCACCTCCTGCCCTGGAGGAGTCTCGGCCAAATCCTCCAGCTGTGGTTGCTGGAGCCCCTCCAGCCTTCCTGCACGGCCTGGCACAGTGTGGCAGTGCCAGGGAACACTGGCAGAGGGACCCCTCCACTGCTGCAGCTGCTCCCAGCCCGAGGTGGGGATGGCTGAGCCTGACAGGCACCCCTGGAGTGCTGTGTCCAGCTCTGGGCCCCTCAGCTCAGCAAGGACATGGAGGGGCTGGAGCAGGGGCAGAGAAGAGCAACGAGGCTGGGGAAGGGACTGGAGCACAATTCCCATGAGGAGAGGCTGAGGGAGCTGGGGGGGCTCAGCCTGGAGAGGAGGAGGCTCAGAGGGGACCTCAGCACTCTCTGCAACTCCCTGACAGGAGGGGGAGCCAGGTGGGGGTTGGTCTCTTCTCCAGGAACCAGCAGTAGGAAAAGAGGGCTCGGTCTCAAGCTGTGCCAGGGGAGGTTTAGGTTGGATATTGGGAAGGAAATCTTTACAGAGAGAGTGCTCAGCCATTGGAATGGGCTGCCCAGGGATGGGGTGGAGTCACCAACCCTGGAGGTGTTTGAGCAGAGCCTGGATGTGGCATCAGTGCCATGGGCTGGGAACCACGGCGGGGTTGGATTGAGGGTTGGACTGGATGATCTCAGAGGGCTTTTCCAACCTGGCTGATTCTATGATTCCATGGTTCTGTTCTCCTGTGATTCTATGATTTCATGATTCTGTTATTCTGTGATTCTATGACTCTATGATTCCACCATTCTGTGATTCCCTGTGGAGCACAAGTCCCTCCACACTCTAACTCCCCAAATCCAGCTCCTCCTGTGCTCCTGCCCTCCTCCCCTTTGGCATTTCCACTAAGTCCCTGTGCTATTTGAGGAAGGGCAGCGGTGCCACCCCCAGAGGAGCCGGGGAAGGCTCTCACAGCTGCTCTTTGGTTAAACCCCTTTGACTTTTAAAGACTGTTGCAAACAAATCCTGCTTTCCCTGCCCTGCTGGCCGAGGGAATTCCCTGCTTTGCTTTGGAAAACCCACCCTGGCTTTTAGCTCAGCAGCTGCAGTGAAGATGCTGAAGCATCTTTGGTTCCTCCGGAGGTTCCCAGCGGGATGGAGGATCCGGAGGGCTGTGGGGTGCTGGCTGCTCCATTTGCTCCTTAATGGGGCAGGTGATGGGGGTGCCAGCGTTGCTGGTGGCACGTGGCTTGGTGGCCCACTGGGTCCCTGCAGGAGGGAGTTTGCTGCTCTCTCTCGGGGCGTGGAATGTTTGTCTTTCCCAGCGCTCCATTTAACTCCATCCATCATCCCGCTGCTCCCGGGGGAGCTGCTGCTTTGTCCCTCTGGCATTGCAGAGATGCTGCAGTGGCCGTCCCTGCTGTGCTGGAGGGGGAGGTTTTGGGATCCTTGGCACTGCCAGCTGGGGTGGATCCATGCCTTGCTGGGCTCCACACGCCTGGAGTGCATTTTCAGTGGGTGATGCCATCCCAGGGGCAGGGCCTGAGGGATGCAGGAGCTCCAGGCACTGGAGGAGACCCAATCTCCCTGAATTTCTGGAGGATTTGGGGGCAGAGAGCTGCACCCAGGATGGCAGCTGGGCTCCCTGTGTCCCCCTCAACACAGCGATCCCTGTCTCTGCCGGGTCAAATGGATCCATCTCAGGATTCCCCCTCTTTTTGTCCCCTGGGAGAGTGGGAGCACAGTCCCTGCCTTTCCTGGG